TTAAATAATTTAATCAAATCTGGTTTAAATTACCCTCTTAGTACTACAAACAAAAACCGCGAAGTTTAATCAAAAACTTTGGGATATTAATGAAAAACCGATTTTTAAAAACAAATTTAAAAAAATCACAATTTAAAGCACAGGTTAATAAAACAAACTTTATTCATAATGAATTACCCTTCAATATTGACATGACATTTAGGAACACACGTTATATCGACTGAATAGCTTTTTTTGCTACTGTTTCCAGCGATTTTGAAGCTAATAAACCTGTAAAGGCTTTACGATTCCACTAGGGAGAAAGACCAGTTTTTGGTTGATCTGTATGACCTCTTGGTAGTCACGATTTAATATAATGTTGATCCGTTATTGAGGATGATGAGGTTTAACGTGGCCATCAATGATTTGAGGTAGTTTTCTCTTTCGTCAATTTTATTTGAGCTTCATTGCCGTGATTTGATGTTGAAATCTCCCAGGAAAGTTGTATTAGGATTGTTTTCCATCTTCGCGTCTTCTACTCATACTCGTTTTGTTCAGGAAAATGTAGCAATTGTAGATTAATGTTCTATTAATGAGTATCTTAATATATCCATTGTAATTGCCTAAAAAAAACCCATTGGTTCAGACCAAACCATGTAAATTTTCCGTTGTAGGATTTGGTGGATGTCAGTAATTTAATTTCTGTTGTAACGAACTACATGTTTCAATCCAAGTGGGCTATCATATCAATGATGGTGGTGTGGTTTTCCGAATTTTCCTCATGTGTAAGTCAAATGACACCATAAATCAATTGTCACACCGGAGCTTAATAGTAAATAAAAATAGTAATCCTTCCATTCCTGTAGAGAGATTACTATTATTAAATTAGGACCTTATGGTTCCTTTGTTTATATATATATTTTTAAAAGGTGCCAATTTGTTGTATTTATTCTTTTGATAATAATACCGATTCTCTATATTAATGCCACGTGAGGCATGACGTAACTTTACTGTACTTTACTGTACTTTACTGTACTTTACTGTACTTTACTGTACTTTACTGTACTTTACTGTACTTTACTGTACTTTACTGTACTTTACTGTACTTTACTGTACTTTACTGTACTTTACTGTACTTTACTGTACTTTACTGTACTTTACTGTACTTTACTGTACTTTACTGTACTTTACTGTACTTTACTGTACTTTACTGTACTTTACTGTACTTTACTGTACTTTACTGTACTTTACTGTACTTTACTGTACTTTACTGTACTTTACTGTACTTTACTGTACTTTACTGTACTTTACTGTACTGTACTTTACTGTACTTTACTGTACTTTACTGTACTTTACTGTACTTTACTGTACTTTACTGTACTTTACTGTACTTTACTGTACTTTACTGTACTTTACTGTACTTTACTGTACTTTACTGTACTTTACTGTACTTTACTGTACTTTACTGTACTTTACTGTACTTTACTGTACTTTACTGTACTTTACTGTACTTTACTGTACTTTACTGTACTTTACTGTACTTTACTGTACTTTACTGTACTTTACTGTACTTTACTGTACTTTACTGTACTTTACTGTACTTTACTGTACTTTACTGTACTTTACTGTACTTTACTGTACTTTACTGTACTTTACTGTACTTTACTGTACTTTACTGTACTTTACTGTACTTTACTGTACTTTACTGTACTTTACTGTACTTTACTGTACTTTACTGTACTTTACTGTACTTTACTGTACTTTACTGTACTTTACTGTACTTTACTGTACTTTACTGTACTTTACTGTACTTTACTGTACTTTACTGTACTTTACTGTACTTTACTGTACTTTACTGTACTTTACTGTACTTTACTGTACTTTACTGTACTTTACTGTACTTTACTGTACTTTACTGTACTTTACTGTACTTTACTGTACTTTACTGTACTTTACTGTACTTTACTGTACTTTACTGTACTTTACTGTACTTTACTGTACTTTACTGTACTTTACTGTACTTTACTGTACTTTACTGTACTTTACTGTACTTTACTGTACTTTACTGTACTTTACTGTACTTTACTGTACTTTACTGTACTTTACTGTACTTTACTGTACTTTACTGTACTTTACTGTACTTTACTGTACTTTACTGTACTTTACTGTACTTTACTGTACTTTACTGTACTTTACTTTACTGTACTTTACTGTATAGTTGAATTCAGTCTAATTAACGTCTACTAATAATTATACAATAAATTTGAAAGTCCACACAATTGAATACCATTATAAAAAATGTGGTTAAATTCAGATCTTGGTTATATATTTGAGGTTTATTTGAGGGCGCTGAACTTAATAAAATAGTATCAGTCATTTAATGCCATTTTGTAAACATAGAACAGTGGTCTGGTGCGCATCTTGGTTGGTTGTATTGAAAATGAGTGAGATTATCTAATCGTCTTCCAGTGCGATCCAGATGGATCTATTACGGCTTATTTCTAAATTATAGTTCACCGTTTCAGCCACACATTTTAATAAACACCATGCATATTGTAGTTTCAATGTTAAACAATATGCAAAGGCTAGTTCGTTATCAGGTTAATATTATCCAGAGATATTCCAATTAAAAAGTTTCTATACCAAAAACATCAACAAAAACCATTAGAACACCTGAAAGTATTTATTGATAGACTGTCAAATATAAAACACACTCCAAAACGTTCTGCAATTAAATATGCAATCGAATTTTACATTACACTCCTACAAAGTTTAAATTGCAAAATATTTTCCAGTTTTTAGTTTTTGCTCAATCCTATAAATTTTGATAAGGATTTCTTCAAACTTTTAACCTATAATTTAATGGTCTGAACAGGCGATATCATCCCATGATCAATAATATTGATCTTTTTTTTTCCAATTTTTTGGCTGCATATTCACAGTCTTGTCCTACTGCCAAGATTGCAGTGTCATCTGCAAAGCTGGCTGTTGTATTATCTTTTACTTTCCTGATTATCTCTGATGTATAGTAAATACAGAACAGGTCCCAATTTTTTAGTGAAATCAGTTTCAGAGGTAAGGCAAATATCGATTTTTTTTCTATGTCCAGCAGCTCTTGTTGATGTTGCAAGACTCCATTGGGGTTCCATTCCATTATTCTTAAATTATTTAACGTTATAATTTTTAGAAATAACCTAGTGTTTCTCTCATCCATTTTTGTTCATCTTTCCAGTATTTGTTGGAGAGTGTGTTCAATGGATGAGCTTTCTTTGTTATCATTTGATATAATATTGATCTGATGACGAAATAATCTTTGTTTATTTAGTTTTCACGGAGAATAATTTAATACGGGAAATGTGTGACTAATAATATGATTTTAAGTTCCGCGCTCTCATCTAAACATCAAATGAATAACCAAGTTTCTAAATGCCCACTTCACTGTTGATGGACACTATATAAACTCAAATTTGTCAGTTATTTCAGTACTTTGAGTAATTGAAAAATCGAATAAGAAAATCACCTGTACATAAATTTCACTTTGAACATATTTCCGAGCATGGAATTGTTTCACCTTTAGTTTTGTTTTTAACAGTACCTATTAGTTCTATTTGGGCAGAAACTCTTGACAGAGTAGATTAATAATTAGACTCAATGCACTTGCTCATAATTTTGTTTATACAGGAATCAAAAACATTATTGTATAATAGTTTACTTTTCTCTAAGTAGTTATTTTAATAACACCACAACTGGAATTTTTATGCATACAGAAAATTAATTTAACTCAAAAATTATTGATCTTGTAAGTGGTGCTAACTTTGGGAAATTACTATTTTTTATTTTGTTTGTCATATATTGTATACAATTTTTTATGCCTTCTTAATTTAAATGATCTTAAGTTTTTGTATCAAATTCTTAGAATTATTAGGTTCCGATTGGAATACAGTATTTTTGGTTTACTTTGTTTTTCCTTTATTAAATTATTTATTTTAATCTATTTGGCGAGAAGTCCCTGGGAGATGGGGAATAAAAGTAAAACAATAAAAGAAAAATTCTTGAGAGGGATACATTCACAGAACCTTTTGTTAAACATTTCCTCATATCGTTGATGCGCATGAATAGTGACACAACTTGAAAATTTCTATTTTCCAGCTGTTGTAAAAATGTATAGCAAAATCTGCTTATTTTTATGTAGATAGACATATTGCTATTTCCAAAAATGACTACTGGAAAGCGATTGTGTCGTTTTTCCCGTACTACAAAGTCGCGAGTTTAAGATGAAGAATGACACAGATTTAATTGTCCTCCGATAATGATACAAAATCGTCAATTTTCGGTTAGAGTGACATAAATAAAAATATGCCGGTTTTATTAAAAAAAAAAACATTATTTTAAGCAGAGACACAACTCAAATATTTATGTGGTGTGAAATATCCTTTACTGAAAGATCGTGAAAGAGGGATGAAAACATATTTTTGGGTTTTTTCTTAATGTTAACAAAACAAATTTGTTATTTATTTTAATGCAAATTAAACATTTATGTTTATCCCCAAAAAAGATTTAAATGTTTTTAAAATGCAAGAAATTAAAATACAGTAAACAAGAAACTTTAAAATGGATGTTATTGAAAATTTATGTTTTTGAGTTCTGTCACCATTATTGCGTACTAACGATATAGTAAATAAAACCTTTGGGTAGTTTTAAAATAACAAATAAATGACAATGAAAGAAGCATATTTATGTTACATTAATATATTGTAATTCCCAATGTTAGTGTCCAATATAAGTTTGTAAAATTTGTATGTCGAGAGGCCAAAGTGTAAAGTAGAAAAGCGTTATACCTTTCGAGCTGCTTACTAACTAGAGTTGTGGTGGTGCTACATTGTGTACCCCAAAAGCATTTACTACATCCCGTACCAAAAAAATAACCATAACAATACCATAGCCACGTTACTAATGCTTTTAATTCTGGCTGCTTTTGTTTAACCTCTAAACCTAAGGTGAAGGTCGAAATTTTGTTACAGTTGCAGCGCGATTGGAACTCCCGCAGTTGCAACAACGTGAATCGGGTGTGCAAAACCCCTACTGCTGTGGCCACATCTACGTCGGCCAACATGGCTGCTACTCTGTCACGACCAATCAGAACTACCCCCACGAACCTTATACCTGATCCTGGCCAGGAATCTAACAATACTTCCACGCTTCCTTATATCCGCAATTTCTATAAAATGTCTAACAATCATAATATTCCTAAATCATTATCCACTTGGGGTCCTCTACACAAACCTTTACACTCTAAGGTGCGTAGGTATCTCTCTTTCCTCTAGCTTACTAGATTTCTTTTATTCTAATCTGTAATTTGCATGGAATGTTCTTCAATTAAAAAAGTGCTCCACTTAATTATTTTTTTAAATTAAATTTCGAAAGCTTATAATAGCCCAAGCATGAAGTGTTTAGTACAGGGGTTACTTGTGAAAAATTAGAATAAAGCTACAAATTGGTATGGCTTGCAATTTAAAATTTTTTTTTTTTTGAGAACGCTGTGCAAACGGCTGGTCTGAAAGGAAAAATTCTTGTCCAGTCGTTATCTAGAGGATAGTTGTGACAAAAAAACCCATTCGTGAGTAATACCCTAGTATTTATAGTTTACCAACTCAACCTTATTTTCCTTCGGACCACATAAGTATATTTGCTATGTTACACGGGCCGCAATATTTTTGGATGATGACCCTTTATTTAGGCCAACCATTTAAAATTAGTTAGTGGGAATCTCTAATTAATAAAATATATTCTATCGGGTTACTGCAAAAACAAGATAACTCTCATTTTTAGAGTTTCGAGAAAACGCTGTTCAAAAGTTTAAGATTGATTAATAAAATCAGTAAAAGACTCACATTGTTTAATAAACAATAACTCCAATGAAGTAAAAGGTATTCAAAGCGTAATTAGTCTTCACAAAGTATAAACTAAGCATTTATGGATTTGTAACAATAATATTCAATGTCTGTGTCACTATCTTCTATGGAAGGTTCAGGTACCATGTCTTTAACATTATTGGATACAGGTAGATTGTGATAATAATGGTGAAATTCGTCAGGTGTAGCACCTGATTTGCAAAGTTTCAATAAATCTTTCTTCTTGACATTACTAATGTCTTTTTAGGAAGTTTCTTTAAATCTTTTTTTTCACCTTTTCAGACATCCCTCTGCCGGTATGGCTTGGGTTTTTCAAGCAATGCGAAAAGCTGGTGTTTTGGTATTGTGATTTAAGAAGTCATTTTTACGAGATGAACGACAGCATTCCTACTCGTTACAGTCTGACCAATCACTTTTTACGACTTGACCAATCACTTTTTACTGCTTGACCAATCAATCATTGTATGTTAGCATCTATTGATTTTTGAAGATTAGCTGTATCGTGGAAAGAAAGGGTGACGTATTCACCTTGTCGAGAAGGGCTAGAGACGGCTCTATACAAAACAAATGGCTTGGGCAAAATGTTGAAGTATTTCAACAAAAATAATTGTTCTGGCCTTTACCTTGTTTGTAGGAATCGGACTAAATACATTTAGCAAAAATAAGTTATATGTCTCTTATCTGGTTTTGGTAGCCACACTCACAGATCAGGGACATAAAGATAGGAAACGCGAAGACCGCAGCAACGGTGGCATCATCTATGCGTCTCGGATGTAAAGATGAATAGATTTTCATAATTAAGCTGTAAGTGTAGTTTACAAGAACATGAGAGTGCAGTCGATATTCATACAACCTTTATTATCAGGTTTTTAAATTTCCCACTGCATTATTTGTTTGATACCGATGAAAGCGCCACATAGTGAGTCGGATGTTAACTGCGTTTGAGCTGGTCGCTGTTAAGCATGGGCTTCTTATGAGCGTTTCCTATCTTTATGCCCCTTATCTCTGGCCACACTATTAACAACTGAAGACAATGTTATGATTATATTTCGGTATAAATGCCACTCATCTTGTTTGTGCATATTGTGCAGTTTTTATTGGCCATCCGTTTATCATAAATATAGACTTTGTTCACTTGTCCTGTTTATACCGTATAATGTTTGAACTATTTTGGAGTCGAAAATGTCGAAAGTGGAGCTATCTTGTTTTTGCAGTAACCCCATGATCCAACGGTTTATTTAAAAATTAGCGTGATAATTAGCGCGCAGTGACTGATGAATGTTTTCGCGCATTTCGCACAAGATTTTAAAAATAGAAACCTATAATTTTAAAAAGCACTTTCTTGAAAATAGTGTTTTGGGCCGCAAAAAAAGCTTGGGGCCGCTGCTTGAGTATAGCTGCTCCAGAACGTCCTGAATAGAGGCATGTCTTATCGTTGAAAGCCACAATTTCATCAAAATTACCCCTATTTTGTTCCACTTACATTGAAAACCGATTAGAAAAAAACACTTCCGAATAATAAATTTAGTCTAGTTCATGTTCCCTAAAGGTTGTATTTTTTTTAGAATACTGCATGACAGACGCGATTAAAAGCGCGAGGTTGTAGGTCAAGAAATTCGGAATAATTAAAGGAGCACTGAAATTTTGTACGTATATATAAAATGCCCAATCCGAATTTTAATCAAATCGAATGTTAGTCGCTTCGATGATTTAATTCAACTTTTCTCATCTAACATTTTTTTTTCTAATATTGATACTTTTACATTTAGGTATTTAATATCTTTACATGTTTCTCCTATTGCATTACATTTTAGAAATTGTTAAATATGGTTGGTTGTATGTTTTATTGCGGTTTTCATTTTTTTGTGTACCAAAAAATACCAAGCATCTCTTGAGGACTTGATACTAAAATATCTAAACCAAAAAAGGCAATATATAATTTTTTAGTAATTGTAAAAGTTCTCTCTTTTTGAATATGGATAATTTCCTGACCGTAGTAGAATTTTATGTAAATAAAAAGTTCCTTGGTTTATTCGGTCATATTGTTTTTATTTTTTATAATTTAATCACAAATACTTCATATGTTTCGGAACATTTTTCCATCTTCTGGTGCAGTCACTATTTAATAAAACATGGGGAACGATAACAAACAGTCTAAAACTTTTAAAATAACAGAAACCCCATCTTTCTGTTTCACAGCGTGTGAAGGTGCATTCGAAATAATAATTTGGTTTAACACGATAAAGTAAGGAAACAAAAAGCTGAGTTTTTACAATTGAAGGATTAAAAAGCTTACAATTAGTTAATAACATTAAAATACGCGTTTGATATATACAAAAGTTTTTCATCTGATCTTTTGTCTTAAAATTTACTGCAAAAAAAAACCACTGTTGGAATCAGTTTTTCATAATTATCAAAACGAGCTAGCAAATGATTCGATTAAAATTCAAATAGAGCATTAATTTAAGAACACCTCCAAATTTCAGCATTCTACAACTTTTAATTTTTCCGAATTTCTTGACCTACGACCGTGCGCCTTTATTCGGATCTTAGTCATACAGTATTCGCATTAAAAATAGTCCGTTTGGGTAACATGAAATAGACTAAATTTCTGATTGACTATCAAGAAACATTTTTTCTAATCGGTTTTCAAGGGAAATTACAAGTGAAACAACCCAGACAGCACAAATAGGTTCATTGGACGTACATTCGATATACAATTTTGGATGTCTGGACGTCCAAAAATGAGTTTTTTCTGAACTTCCGACATCCAATGGATGTCAAATGAAGTATACAAATGGCACCCTTTTAACCATTCATAGGACGTCCAATTTTGGATTATATTTGAACGTTGAATAATACTGGACATTCAAAATATGTCAATTCCCAGTTTATATTCCTTTGAGACAACATCCCCATTTTTTTAACACAACCACAACTAACCACTCACTATTTTATATGATTAATAATTTATTATTTTCGCAACCCGCTATACACCATTTATTAATTTTTTTTATTAAAAATCACTTGACCTGAGAAGGTATCGAACCATTATCGTTCTACCATTGTCGTTTTAGGCTTTAAAGCCGTAGGCAACCTCGACCAAGGAGCTACTTGAAAAATTCTTACTAGACATGGTTATAATAGAATAAGATTTCGCTGATAGAATGAAATATAATAGATTCAATTTGTCAATTTTTAATGACCATTTATATTTCAAAAAAGGAACTGTATATAGATGGGTATTATCTGGGAGGCTAAATAAATAATGACAAGACTAAACCTAAAATTAAGTCCATAAACAGACGTTCTCTGGGTATAGATATGCAGCTGTCAAATTAATGATCATAAATGGACGTACACGATGTCCGAATACGGATATGAACGTTCTGGCCCTCAAATGGATCTAAAGTCTGGGAAAATAGAAGTCAATTTGTCACGCTATTGTACGATAATAAATTATTGATTGTTGGTGACTTCAACATTACCGAATATGCTACATATAAATTTAAGTCGCAGTTAAATTTAGCGAAAAAATTCTATCCCTAAATAATTTTCAAATTTTTTCGGTTTATTGCAATTCAATGAAGTACGAAATTATTTTAATCGAATATTACATCTTTTCTCTAATATAACAAATTGTAAAGTAGAAAAAGCAGCTGACATACTTATCATTCAGTACTAATTATTAGCTACACAAAAATCTTCTTCTCCGATTGGATTCAATTTTAAAAAAGCCGATTTTCCAAATCTTTAAAAATATTATTGGATACAGACTAGTATTTTCTAAATAGTGGCTATGATGTTGAAGTCTTAAACGCTTTACGATAAGTTGAACTCTTCCAAAAAAGACTCCAACTATCCAACATTATCCACAGTGGTGTAATTCTGTAATCATAAATAGTATCAAACTAAAAAGTAAAGCTTGGAATAAAAACAAGCTTAAATATAATTCGGATTACATTATTTACAGTCAAATGAGAACTGAAATTAAAATCAAAACTAAATTAGCTTACTGTAATTATGTGAAATGTTCTGAAGAAAATATTAAGGCAGATCCTAAAACTTTTTGGTCCTTTATAAATTTCAGAAAGGATGATCTGTCAACGATACCCAACAGTATGAATTTCGAAAACAAACGTTTAAATCAACCTAAAGATATAGTAAATTCGTTTACAATATTTTATTCAGGAAATTATACACTGATAATACTTTGAAAGATTCTATAAAATTCCAAAATTATAATAATACATTTTTCTGTTGTCCAGACACACTCTGTCAATATCAATAATGTCAAAGTTAAACAAATTTAACAAATGTTAAATATTGAATTTGGGAAGTAAAAAATTATAATATTCATTAAAACATTTATAAATTTTAATTAT